CCCCCCGCGGGCCCTCCACCCGTCTCTCCCTGTGGCTGCTGCTGAGCCCCCTCTGCCTCCGCGGCTCCCCTCAGCACCAGCGCAGCAGCCCATCCCTCCGCGTCCTGCGGCGACGACGCCGTGCCCCGCAGCGCATCAGCGTCTCCACGTAGTCCCTGCTGGGATGGACTGTGCCTGGCCCTGAGCGTGGCAGCAGCCAGGGCTGGCGTCTGCCGTGTCCTGTGCCTGTGCCCTGGCCCCACTGGCCCCCCTGGCCCAGGAGATGGCAGCATCTGAGAGCCTGGGGAGGGCCCAGGAGGCGGGTGCTCCAGGGGCACCAGTCCCGTGCTGAGCCAGGGCCACCGGAGGGGCCAGCCAGAGCGAGCCTGGCCAGTGGGGGCGCAGGCCTGGCTTTTTTTTGGCTGCCGCCGGGCTCCCTCCAGGAAGGAAGGCAGCTCCTGCCACCCCAGATGCCCTGGCCCCAGGATTGGCGCGCTGCTCCAGCCACCTCCAGGTCTCAGCTCACTGGCCAGCGGCGTGCTCTGTAAATAGCTCCTTGAATACATTTTTACATAAAACTCTGAGCTGAGCCTGTGCCATCCGCCCCCACGCAGGGAGGAGCTGTGGGGCTGGGCATGGAGGTGCCCGCAGCGCCTCAGTGCTGGCCCCATCTGTGCAGCCATCATCGCCAAGGGCACCTTTGGGGTGACTGCTGGGGAGGGAGTGCAAGCAGGGGGGTGACAGGGCAGGGAGCACTGACCTGGGCTCCGGGGTTCCAGGAGGGTGCTCAACCCGTGGCCAGCTGAGCCCCTGGAGGAGCCAGCCCCCCACCCCAGGACACAACACAGTGATGGGTGCTCTGGCCCAAAAGGTGCCAGCGAGCTGCCTGGGCACCGGGCCCCGGACAAGCACCTGCCTGGGCAGCAGGGAGGTCCCGGGCTGCTTGGCCAAGGACCTGTCCAGGATGCCAGGGATGATGTCCAGCCATGGGGTGCTGTGGCACCAAGCCCAGCCCTGGCTCCAGCTGCTCCCGTCCCATCCTGTCCCACCACAGCAGCTGCCCTTCTCCCTGGGGACCGTGGGCACAACACCCCCAGAGCTCCTTCCACCCCTTTCTCTGAAGCTGAGAAAACCCCCGGGGAGGATGGACAGACAGGTGGACAGATGGACAGAGCCCCCTGCCCCACCAGCACCTCAGCAGGGCTGGCAGGAGGGGAGACTGCAGAGCACGGGGCTGGCACTCGTGCAGGAGGGGAGGGCCAGGACCCGCACCCAGCGGGGCAGGGCAGGGACCCTGGGTGCTGCCCCCAGCACGGACAGGACGGCTCGGCTACCCTCGCTGGCCCTGCCTGCACCCCTGGCTCAGGGGGACACAGCACAGGGGCTGCTGCCAGCACTCTGGGACCCACATG